GGGGGGGGAGGTGCTGATCTTAAGTACCATGTCATCGGCAAGTATGTGACAAGCACAGCGTGAGGTCTCTTGTTTTCTTTTGCGCAAAACCGTACTCATTTATCTACCCCCGAAGGAAGAATTGCGTGACCTCTTCAGGCGTCGATCTCGTGACCCGTGGTTTTTTTAAAAGCGCTTCTGTGTAAGTGCCTAATCTTTAAGGCTAGCAGACGTGTTTAGCTTAACGTACTTCATAACCTGAACTTCTCATTGGTGAACCACCTACAAATTTCTTCTACTGCCCGATGGATATTTATCATAGTCTGACACGACTTAATTATTTTGTCCCTGCATTTTTTAAGTGAGTACGTCCATTTCTGTTTAAGCTTATTCAGACCGCCTTTGAGCTTCACTGTCTTTTTGCTGATCAGAGATATTTCTTTGTTTTCCTTTCAGACGAGTCTCTAATATCAATCTTGACATTTAAGTCTGTGCTAAGCTTTAATTCCCTAATATTTTCAGTTACTTCTCGATGACTTGACAGTCACGTAGGAGTTCTCTATCGGCTCATAGCCAAGAAATTATTTTATAAATTGAGTATCATCTATAAATTGTCCAGTACAACAATGCAGCATTTACATCGCATTTGACATCTACCTATTTTCAGCTTCTGCCAGTCAAATTCTCTCATGTGCATCAACTTCGCGTTTTCTTCAGATGCTATCCATCATGTCACGCACAATCATCCTGTCGGGTTCTCAGAGACATCTCCGTTTGAGCCCGTTTGCTTATTTACATTTGTTTATCACCACCTCGAGCCGCTTGCATGGGCAGAATATTTGTGGCTTGCGATGACCGCTGTACTTTCAGCTTTTCAATACTGTTGCTATAAGGCACAATTCGCTTAATCTTAGAATGAAGTATTCCTCCATGTTAAATCGTACCCATCTGGCCGATATCTGCCCTATCATTTCAACTCCCACCCAAGAAGCACGTGAGCCGCAGTAAATGGTTCATGGTAAACTAGTTTGTCCAACAGGGTCAACCTGCAGTTTTTAATCTGAACATCTTCTAAGCTCATCTGTGCTTGAAAGACAGCAGACTCATTCTTTACGTCATTCTGTTGACCAATTTTTCTTTAGCCCGTGTTCTACCATTTAGTTCTCCTTTCCGTTTCTGTAAACGATTGATGCAAACTATTCGCTCGTCCATTTGATAGTGATGATCTCAGAAGTTTGTACCTGATGATATTTTTTTGGAGTAGAGTTTTCCTAACTTTTCTTCCATTTCTTCGTTGC